CTATGGATTTTAATTTGTATTAACTAAATTTATAATAACTAAAGAAAATTATATACCAAATCCAAAATTTGTACCCACATGTCTGACTTTATTTTTCCTTAAACTTGGTTTACATAATATAGTTTCAAAGAGCTCGTAAACCGTAGCATTTATATTAAAGTGCTCAAATTTTAATATATTATATTTCAAACTATGTATTTTGATTTTTATTGACTAAATTTATAATGCCAAAAAAAATTATATAAAAAATATTAAATCCCAAATTTGTACCTGAAATTTTTGACTCGAAATTTTATCTTTATTATACTAGAATTTTATACTCGGTTGGCATATGCATTTTCAAAGAGCTCGTAAAATCGTACTATTTATACTAAAATACTATAACTTTAGTATATCATACCACAACTTATATATTTTGATATCTAGTATTTAAATTTGCAATAATTAATTTGTTTATATTTTTAAAAAATACCAAATTAAAATTTGTACACGCGCACATGAAAGTCTTCAAATTTCAATGCAAATACATACGAAATTTTGTTTACCTATATTTTCAAGGAGCTCCTCAGACCACATTGTTTGTAATAAAAACTTGAAATTTAGGTGAAATGTTGATTGGTAACTATATTTTCATGTCAAGTACAAAAAAATTGATTTTTGTTATATTGAAAGCCTTAATAACTTTTGAAAGCTAAAAACAAGTACTCCTGACTAAATTTTTGTATAGTCGTTGAAAAAAATATTTTTATTTTATTCTAAACATGAAAAATCATCGATATTAGTATATGTTGTATTAGTATAAGCTTTAAGCAATAACATATTAAATTTACATATTTTTAACATCAACAGCAAGGTACAAAAAAAAATTGCAAAATATATGGGAACATTTAAACAAAAATTTCATTTCGTTTATATACATTTTTGAGGAGCTCTTCAGACCACATTTTGCGTAAGAGAAACTTGAAATTTTAGCAAAATATTGTATGAGACTTATGATTTAATACTGCATACAAAAAAATTGATTTTTGTTAAATTTAAAGCTTGAATAAAATTTAAATCACAACAAGTACTTTTGATTTAAGACTGAAGTCTTCGATATATTTAATAAACATTTTTCTTGACAAAATTTTTTTGTAGTCGTGGAAAAAAGTTATTTTATTTTATTCTAAACACCAAACATCATCGATTTTAGTATTTGTGTTATTAGTATAAGCTTTATGCAATAACATACTAAACTTACAGATTTTTAGCATGAACATAAAAGTACAAAAAAAAATTGTAAAATATATGAGAACATTTGGAAACAAATTTTATATTATGTATATACGTTTTTGAGGAGCTTGTCAAACCACAGTTTGCGTAAAAAAAACTTGAAATTTTGACTAAATATTGTGTGAAACTTATAATTTAATACTGCATACAAAAAAATGATTTTTGGTAAATTTAAAGCTTGAATAAAATTCAAATCACAACAAGTACTCTCGAAATAAGACTGATATATTTTATCTTTGATATATTTTGTCTTTGATATATTTTATACGTAATTTTCTTGATTTTTATACAAAAAGTATATATTTTTATATTTATTATTTTTCTATAAGCTTCAATAAAAACGTGTGCACCTAAAAAAATTTATTACTGAAGCTTTTTTCTTAAAAAAAATCAATTCTGTAATATAATTCCTCTTGAAAAAATATTTTCGCATGCAAATTAAATATCGTGTAGCTCTATTGTCGATTTTAGTAACTTTTAGTGTTTTTTATGATTTTATAAATCAGCATCTGCGTATTTTCATTTCAAAATGCCTTTATAATAATTTTCCGTGGGTAGAAATGCGAAAAATTTTCCATTCCGCAAAATATTATGATAAGTAGTTCGGTAACATAAATTGCAAGTACGCAAAATAATACGAGAGACGCGGGTAAAAAAATCTGTAAATAATAAAATAATAAAGATATATAATTTTTGATATTTTTTGGGGTATTTTTAAAGTTTTGGTTAAATTATAAAAATATGAAATTCGGTTTTTGCATGTTTGTTTGATGGGTAAAAATAGGAGTTTGCGGAGAAAGCGCGCGGGGATAAAATTTTAATATTTCACAAATTTCAATAAAAGTTGTCTGAATTTGCTTATTTTATAAATATACAGGGTGTTCCAGAACTTCAACGTCAAATTGAAAACAGGTGACAGTATTGACCTGAAAAAATTTAGAAAAAAAATTTACCTCACGTTGTTTGAAAATTATGAGCTTTCAAGTGCAACCTCAGAGCTTTGGTGCAATAAAGTTTATTTTTCGGTTATTGTGGGTAATATTTCTAAATTTTTTTAACTTAAGCTTTGGAACCGTAACCCTAAATAACATTTCTAAGACCACAGTCTAAAATAATAATATAATTGCTCCAAGTTTTCAAGATAAAATCCTTTTTGTCAAACCATGGATTAAAATTTTTTAACATCCCTCAACTTTGGGAAGCTCTGGTTTAAAAAAAATGTACGAAAGTATTGTGGAAAATTTCATAAAAATTAGTGCATTTTATCAGGATTGTAAAATAGTAAATTAATCAGTAAATTTATTATTGAATTGAATCTAAAATTGCGTTTGAAAATAGAGAAAGAACCTATGCTCGTCACCGAGAGAAAACGTGCATTTTTTGTTTGATTCTTTTTAACTTTTAAATTATTTGTTTAAATTAATAAGAACATCAAAAGAAAGTATATAAAATTGAACAATAAAGAAAAGTTTCTCACATCCCAAGACCCTACAGCAACTCTGTATACCTAAAAATTGCCTTGGAAAAGTCAGAACTTGTACGCAAAATTTTCTATCAATGTTTCCAATGTCGCTGCCCCTCGGACTAAAATTATGGTCGAAGGTTTTCTCATATCTCTATTATTATTATTGCATAATATGCAATCTTCCTCATTCATATAAATTGAGTGCTATACGATTCTAGTATTTGCATTTTAGAAGATATTGTTTACAGAGAGAACAACTCTATTTTATTTGTGGAAAGATTGTTGAAAGCTAGGAGATAAATTAAACTATATTATTTAGGTGTATATGTATATATATATATATATATATATATATATATATATATTTAATTTGAGTTAAAAAGTCGGGCGTTATATCAATAAAAATAGTATGAGAGTTTTTAGAAATTTATTTAAATCCATACGTTTCGGCTAGCATCTTAGCCTTCATTCAATAGCAATCACTTTAACTAGCAAAATTAAAAGTAGATAAATAATATGTAAGAAATTTTATAGATAAACAATAATAATACTAATAATAAAAACACTTACAATTTTGCATCCTAATATAATATATGAAAACATTATTAATCCTTGGTATGAGTATATGCACATTGGTAAAATATATATTTTTTAATATTACAAATGGTAAAACACACAAATAAATATGATAACTTAACAAGTTGTCGAAACTATGTATTTACTGTTCGGAATTTAAGATAGAAATGTCACATTTTTCTTTGAAGCTGTTTTTAGCATGTGTTCAAAATTTACGAGAAATTTAAAAAACGAAGGGATCTTGTCATTTTTTAAGAAATTTTGACACGTTATTTAGGAACCACGTGTTTGTTTTGTTCAAGGCCGTATTATCAAATCGTTTGTTTATAACCCTGTCGTTATGCAATTGCAAAAACAACCCCTCAGCAAATCTTCTTTTAATTATGTTCTCTTCAAAATATAAAATTTTGGGCTGAAAAAATCTGTATTTAAGTTTAAATTATTAATATGATCGGTTAGCATCGTTTTGAATTGTTTAGCATTTTTTGAGTTATATTTATGTTGATGAAGATGTTTACTTAGGTTTTGGCTAGTTTCTCCTCCATTTGTGTGTTTTACCATTTGTGATGTTAAAAAATATATATTTTATCAATGTGCACATACTCATACCATGGATTAATAATGTTTTCATATGTTGTATTAGGATACAAGATTGCAAGTGTTATTATTATTATTTTTGTTTTTCTATGAAATTTCTTATATATTATTTATCTAGTATTAATTTTCATAGTAAAATTGATTGCCACTGAATGAAGGCTAAGATGCTAGCCGAAACGTATGGATTTTAAATAAATAAATTTGTAAAAACTCTCATACTATTTTTATTACAAAGTTTTGAACAAACTATTCTTGGTATTGCTAAATTATTTAGTACGTTTTAATGTTTCTATTTTGGAGCATTTTCAATTATAAATTGTAAGGTTTGTTTGTTTGGTCTATTTTTACTAGTTTTACTATTATTACTTCGCTTTGTCAATGCCCTAACCAATTTTTAAATTAATTGAATATTTTAAAATATTTTTATTACTATTTTTGACTTTTTTTACAAACCCAAAAAAAGCTCTGAGCAAGTTTTGGTATTGCTGATTATTTTCAAAAAAATTCTCAGTTATTTTTTAGTTTTCAGATGATAAAAGATTATTACATTTTTATTATTTTCCATAAAATATTTTTGTAATTTTGGATTAAAAATTCCAAAAATCATCAAGGCTAAGCACAGTCTAAGCGCCACTCTAGTACAAATGTTTACCCAAGTGCGTTTAGACTGTATATGTAATGGAGCACTTTTTCAATTTTGCGAAAACTATTGAAAAATGTGAAAATGCCGCCAAGCTAAGCACAGTATAAGTGAAAATGTCGCACAGAATTATTTGCAAATGCGTTTAGACTGTGACTGGCAGCACTTTTTCAATTTTGTGCAAATTAGGCAACTATTTTTTTTTTTTAAATTGTAATCGAAATGAAATGACGATTGTTGATGTTCTGGAGATAAATTGTTTTATGATTTACATTTGATTTGCTCAGATATAACAAGATAGTGCAAAAATAATGAAAGTTACAGTATTTGTAATAATATATTTGAAAACGTTTAAAATTTCTCGAATATTTCATTACGGTAAGGGAAGTTCCAGAAATTTGCCTTAAGGCACGATGCTATACACCACTAGTTACTATTTTTTTTACTTACCTTTGCCAAAGCTCTAGCCAATTTTTGGTATTGCTGAATATATAAAGTGTGTGTGTGTGGTCCATAAATTGTAGAAGCTGCTTCGTAACGTTGAACCTGAAAAAAATATAAAAATTATATAAAAAAAAAAAAAAATTGATACAAAATATATAAAACAGTTGCAAAATTAAAGTGAAGCAATAATGGAAATACTTTAAATCAAATTGCTAACTAAAAAGGAATAATTTAGACAAAAATTTTGAGCTTATTTTGAAA